CTAAAAAAAAATAAAATTAGAAAAAAAAAACTTTTACATAAATAAAATAAAGTGCGACATCACCCCTTCTCCTGCCCCCATCGCCGTCACATGCCATTCCATTACTTATCCTGACGGCCTGACTGTCTCCTATTTCCCATCATTCGCTCCTGCTCTGGAATTACCCTGGGCAGGGCTTCTGGGACTAGTCTCCTGGGCACTGTAATTTCCCTGGCTGCAGTGTGTCATTAGACGATTTGGTGCTGATGACACGACGCCCAGATGAAGCAAAGATTATGGCCCCTGACGGGACAGGACGGGGCAGCTTGTCCACGGATTGATCCCCCCACCAAGGTTCCCTGACAGCCGCTGGCATCTCCAGCCTGCCATGGCAGCTCGGGGCCCAGCAGAGGGCTGGAGTAAGGAGACCTGGCTTCCAGCCAGCTCTGCCACGTCCCCTCCTGAGTTCCTCAAGGTCCTTCACGTCCTCACCTATACAATGGGCTAATGACAGCCTTCCCCTTAAAAATGACAACTTAACTCACAGAGAGTGCCTGCCACACACACGGCCCTCAGTAAACACAGGCTGCCATCAGAATGGCTGTGCTGGTGGCTGTCATTGTTGTTACTACCTCGGGAAGAGTTTTCCATTCACTTTTTTGGGGGAAGAAATAACACGAATGAGCTCTTTATTTTCCTAAGTGTCATAAAGTAAGTAGGCATCCAGTTTTCTTGGGGAAAAGTGAAGTTCACCTAGAACTCGATGCATATTTTTGCTGGAAAGTTAAGTAATCATTCAATACGGGTTTGTCCAAGGACAATCTGTGGAGTGCCTACTATGTGTTGGGCATCCTTCCAGATACTGGGGATCTGGCAGTGGCTAGAGCAAAGTCCCTGCTGTCACAGAGCTTCCACTTTGCTAGGGAAATCTGACAGTAACCAAACCAACAAACAAATACATGATAAAATGTCCAGCATGTTTACGATACAAAATGCCTGATGTCCCAACAGTGCCATGAAGAGAAATCTAGCACGGTACAGAGGGAGAGCTGGGGTTCTTTCTGCATGATGGTTCAGATCCGTGTGTTCAGTTAGGCTCTGCCCATACTTTCTACCAGGGGCCACTGCTTAGTGCAACACTCAGGAAAAACAACGCGTATTCTAAGAGTCTGGGATCTGCCCCTGCCAAGCTTCTACTAAACCAGCAGCCCCAAGCTCTGTCTTCAGCTTCACCTGGCCCTGGGCATGTGTGTCCATGAGAGGGCCTTGGAGCTGGGGAGGAGCCCCCCGCCCCTAAATCTGGCACAGACTCCCTAGAAAGAAGCTTCCAGCTCTCTTAGGTCTCTGACAGGTCCTCAGCAGACTCCAGAGTGAGCCCAGCCTGGCCCCCACGCAGGCAGCTGCCCACCTTCGGCCCCAGCCCCCGCCCCCGCCCCATCCCCAGCCCCAGACAGTAAATTGTCCCTGAATTAATCAAAGAGCTTGCACTGGTCTGAACCCACTGGGGGCCTCCTCCAGCGGCCACTTTGTGTTCAGTAGATTAATTGCAGCTGGGGGAGGGGTGGGGAGGGAATCCATTTTTAGAAAATCATTACTTTCAGAAAGAGAGGGGGGCGCTTCTGGCGGGGAAAAGTGCTGAGCTGGCAGCCTGGGCTGTTGCTGGAGCACGGGGGAACCAGGGACTGTGCAGGCTGCTCCCAGCTCAGCGGGGAAGGCACGGCCTCGTCCACACCCGCTCCTCCCCAGGACAGGGCACCCCAGCTTCCCAGTCCTGGCTGCTGCGGGCCTTTGCTTCCTGGCCTAGCTTCAGCTCAGCACTGTGCTGGCATCCTGAGCAGAAAGAGGTCACCCCAATATTGACCACCCCTCGCTGCCGACTGTCATCTCTCTGCCCCACTTGCGGCACATCATACCACCCGGAGGGAGGCCACTGTCAGTCCTGCCTGCATCTCTGGAAAAAGGAAGGTCGGGGACCCCTCGTCTTGACTCTTTTGGATTGCAGCAGTTAATCGATTTAACGATATGAAATTGTCATTTCGAATGGTCAGCTACTAGCAATCCCGTTTCCACCCATTATCACATGCCTGCTCTTCACAAGCATTTGCTCAGTAATTCCCATCTCCGTCCCCTGGAGCAGCTATAACGCCCATTTTGTTTCAGAAATTGAGGTTCAGAGAAAGAAGTTAAGTGGCTTGTCCAAGGGAGCACCCAAACTCAGGTTGACTTTTTCTCCAAAAACGTGTCAGTGAGCCACATGGTGTTTCTTGTCTGGTTCCCCCACATCTGCACCCTGCACACCTGCAGCGGACACGGCCAGTTGTGCCTTCTTTGCAATGTGACATGGGGAACACAGGCTGCCACCAGCCTCCTTTGTGGGCTGAGTCTGGGGCTTAACAGACTTCTTGGTTTGGGGTATAAATCCAGCCACTGGGCTGTGTAGGGTGGTCAGGTAGGGTCATCCCTGCATGCGGGACGGGACAAGGGGAAGGCTCTCGGTGCGTACAAGCACACACACAAATGGAGTGTTGCTTCTGTTGCCAACACTCAGCTCAGCTTGGTCCTTCCAAACCAGTACTTGTTCAGGAAAATGTATAACAGAGTCAGAGACCCCTTGACCTTGACCTGTCCAGAACCATCAAGGATTCTGCCTCTCCCTCCCTCAGGGGCAGCACAGACCCAGACCATGGCCTTGGGGGATGCCGGACACAAAGGTCACCACAGTCTTGGGAACATGGAGGGCTCTCAGGAGATAACTTAGTAGATGGCCTCTCTGGCAAGAAAACTGTTGGCTTCCAGCAAATGCCAGACTTCTCCTGAGCATTCCTCTCTCCCCGCCCACCCACCCAGAGTCAGTCACCCCACCGGCATCCAAATGCCCACACCCCAATTCAAGCCTCCTTCTAGAGCCCACAGTTTGTTCCTCCCAAATGGAGAGACCCTGCTCTAGTGGTGGAGCTGGTGGAAGAGAGGCGCCTGCCTTCTCCAGATTACAAGGTCCTACCATGAGGGCCACAGGGGATTCCACCAGACACTGCTGTTGGAGGGCGTTCCTGATCTCTTACCACTTTCTTCCTGGTTGTGTGACTTCGGGGAAGTCATTTGGCCTTTCAAAACCTCCAACATTTATTTATTTATTAATTCTAGTCTGTTATACATGATGAGAAAGCTCTTCGATTCATCGTACACAAATGGAGCAGAATTTTTCACTTCCTGGTTGTGCATGAAGTAGGGTCACACCATTCATGCAATCATACACGTACCTAGAATAACGTCTGTCTCATTCCACCGTCTTTCATACCCTTTTGCCCCCTCCCTGCTCTCCTTTGCCTCATCCAAAGTTCCTCCACTTATCCCGTGCCTCCTCATATAGATTATCAGAGAAAACATTAGGCCCCTGGTTTCTTGAGATTGGCTTGTTTCGCTTAGCATGATGCTCCCCAACTCCATCCATTTACCTGCGAATGCCATGATTTTATTCTCTTTTAATGCTGCAAAACCTCCATTTTTGAGAAAGGGACAAATGGTGATACTCCCAAATGGTTACTTCATGCTGGTACCGAGGGGGACAATCGGTAGCTATTATCATTGGAGAACTTTCTGGCATGCCAATGCAAGTCAGTGCAAACTGCAATGGCTTCGACAGCTCCCTGAGGTTGCCCTTTCATCCCCCTCCTTCCCCACCTCTGCCACCCTGGAGTTCATTAGAACCTTCCTTGGGTGTTTTCCAGAGACGAGATTTTATACTGACACTGGGTTATGGAGCTGGAATACATGGAGGCAGTTCCAGTTCAACGGACAAAAAGCTGCTTTGAGAGGTAGTGAGTTCCTCATCAGCCCATGTAATTAAGCTGGCCCAAATGGCCATTTGGCCTTTGGTCTGGAGCATAAATGAACACATTCATATTTCTTGCTACACAATTGCATTATAATTCCCTTGAATGAAACCATGGTGCCAGTAGGTTATAGCGCTTTGTATCACTATTTGGCAAAACAAAAAGTTGGCAGCTCTACACTGGCCTTCCAGAAAGGGTTTTGGAACTGTTCTGGTTTATGGTATCTGGTTTTTGTTTGTTTCATACCAGGGATTGAACCATTGAGCCACATCTCCAGCCCTTTTTGAGACAGGGTGTAAGTTCCTGAGGCTGGCTTTGAACTTGCGATCCTCCTGCCTCAGCCTCCTGAGCTGCTGAGATTACAGGTGTGCACCACCATGCTGCTGGTATCTGACATCTCAACCCCTACTTCAAAGGGACTCCTTCCTTCACCTAGGGTTCAAGATCCCCTGACACAGACACCTGCAGAGCCCTCTGTTGACCCATTTCTGGTTACGAGATTCCCTGGATCTGAAGCACAGCTCAGATCAAATGGCAGAAATCCCAGGTTGTGCAGGAACAGTACTGAGGGGCCCCCTAAAGCTGGGCTCAGTGAAGGGACTAGTGACATGCCACAGAAGTTCAAGCAGAGAGGGAGATGTAGACTGGACTTGAACTCAGAATGCCTGGGACATTACCTAGGAGGCGGCCTAGTTTCTGTGACCCTAGTCCCTCAACCCCTCATCACCCCTCCAGGGTCTCAGCTGCAGGACACCTATCCGGCAAAATCCCCTCCTCTGGGAAAGGTGCAGCAGGCTCAGGATTTAAAGTCAAGTGAGGAGTCAGCCAGAATCCAGTGGGCCCTGGTCCTCGGGCTGTACTCATCCATCCCCTTTCCCGTGACATCCCTCTTTCTCAATTCCACAAGCCCTGAGAGATCACAGGGCTCCTTTAGTTTGTCTCCCCTTACAAATTAAGGACACAGGGTGAGCTTTGCCCTGTGTCACAGCCTAATAAGAGGAGGGTGTCTGGGTCACTGAAGATCTCTCTGGCATCAGGGAGGAGCCACCGTTTCCAGATCAGGTGTGCCAGATCTCTCTCGTGACATCCCCCTCCCCCCATCAACTTGACTGAGCACTAAACACTCCTCCTCCCTCCCCTCAAACAGAAAAAAAAAAAAAAAAAGGAGCTAGAGGACATAGAATCAAATATACATTTTAAAAATTGTTTAATGGAACATAAACTCCTTTAGAAAAACATTCAGCTAGGTGATAACACCCATAGAAAAAACACCAATCTTGTGTTTATCGTTTTTAATTTGGCATTTGTTATTTGCATTTATATTAAAGCAAAGTGCATCTTTTCTTTATTTTTCTTGTTTATACACATTGCACAATACATAAATAATGATGCTTATAAAACGTCTTTATATTTACAAGTAATAATATATTTATATATAACATAAAATACATTTTTTTCTTTAATAAATCTCAGGTTTCTTTTTTCCAGGAGTCCTTTCTCTCTCAAAGCACTACAATGCTAAATTTCCAATGAGAATGCTTCTCTTGTTCATTTAAACCTTTGTAGTTAGAAAAATAGCTTATGTTAAAGTCTAAACATGCTCATTGAGCTAAGAACAGTGTCAAAGTATCATACGAGCGTATGAGTTGTAGAAGAATGAGAAGAGGTTAGGTGTCAGCTAGGGTGGTACCTTGGGTTAGGATGGACCAGATCCTTCTTGGAGGGAAGGGGGCCATGAGCAGGTCCCTCCCCGGTGCTGGCCTAACAGCTGAGCTCAACACAAAGCTGGGGAGGGGAGGAGCGAGCTGAGCTGGCTTTGAAGTCTGGGAGAAACCTGATGAAACCAGGGCAGGGGGAGAGGCCGGAGGGCCCCAGAGGGCCCCAGGTGAGCAGTACTGCCCCAGCAGCCCTCAGGAAGCCCATCTCAGAGAGAGCCAGGAGCAGATGGCCAAACAGACAGATGCTACAGTGGCAGCAGGCTGGTGGAGGGGAGTGGGACAAGGTGAAAGCAATTGGTTCTGGTTCAGCCTCTAGCAGGCTGGCTTCTCAGAAGCCTGTGGATAGGCCCGTGTCCTAAAAGAGGGAGGAGGGGAGGGGGCTTCCCAGGCTGGGCAGAACCTCGCTTCTGACAGCTGCTGGGCCTCTGCCCCCAGCCTGCCCAGGTAGAGCCTCTGTCCCACTGAGCATGTCCAAAGGGCATGAGACACACACAGCTTGAAACCACGTCTCCACCGGGGACATCCATAAGGAACTCACGGAGGACTCATTCCTCATCTGTTCACACGCATTCATGCACACATAGGCACGCACGTATGCGTGCACACACACTCACACAAACACACACACACTCACGACAAATGAAATGCTGATCCAAAAGTGGAGGGGAGCCCCCATTCATACACTGTGTTTGGCGGGACTCCGACTTTCGCTTCCCCTCTTCCAATAAGGATGTCCTGCCAGCCACACCCACCCCCTCCAAAAAAAAAAAAAAAACCACCAACAATTCTTTTCATAAGCTATTTCTCAAAGAACAAAACAAAAGAGAACACAGACAAGATTGACAAGAACAACAACAAAAAAGAAAAAAAAAACCAACAAGAACAACAAAAAGAAACGACCAAAGAGTTTGCATGAAGAGCAAGCACTCGGGAGGAAAAGATTAGCAGCAAAGTAGTTTTGAATGGTGGCCTGCCCGGCTCCCGCTCGTCCTCTCCCCACCTCCACCTCTGTCCTCTCCCCGGCGGCTACCGGCTGTTGAAGATGACCTCCAGCCAGCATGGGCAGCTGCTGATGAACTGGCGGGTGTAGCACTGGCCCCAGCCCTTCACGAAGCTGATCTGCACGGTGAAGCCCGTCCACGGCTGCTGCATGAACTCGTGGTCGTTGGGCCGCTGCAGGCTGTACGCCTTCTCGTAATCAAAAGCCTTGATGGAGAATCCGGGGAACACCTTGTGCACCAGCAGCGTCCTGGAGTCTGGGTTGTCCAGTGTGGCGGACTTGATGAAGATGGGGTAACTGCTGCGGTTGTACACCCACACACCGTCCACTTCCCGAGTCAGCTGGATGCCGCAGCCGATCTTGCTCCGCACCTTCTGCACCAGCTGACTCTTGTTGTCCGAATTGAGCTGTCCGAGGCAAAAGCCATTCCCCTGAGGTAGATCATAGAAGATATCCAGGGAAGGCTCCTGGACACAGTAGAGCCTCCCCACTCTCGTCTTCTCCTCCCAGTATGCCACCACGCACCAGTGTGACCGATCCCCAGGCTCCAGAAGAAGTTGGGAATCTGCAAAACAAAATAGCGGACACGGTTGGTGGGGATGGAGATTGGCCGGCTGTTTCCTTTTCCTCCTAGAATCCAGACAGACAGATACCCATAACTAGCTTATCTCTCAGTACAAGACAGGAGGAGGGTGCTATGGTCCTGGACTCTCTGCAACAGGGGGTGTCCTGCCAGCCACACCTGTCCTACTAAAAACGAACAAACATAAACTCCAACGATCCCAGTCCTCCTAACTAGACGGAGCAGACATCTTGACCCAGCGGGGGAAAGAGCCCTGCCTTCCTTAAACGCGTGACTCACTGGGGCGCTCACTCCCTCCACTTCCCCGTGCTGTCAGGAAACCAGGACACCATCACCTGGCCCACCTGGCCACGGCTGCACCCTGGCACTGCCCAGAGGCCAGGGAACCCTTGGTAACACTGCCCTCACTTTCTGTGCTAGAAAAGACCTGAGATGGCCTAGAATTATCTTTCAGTAGGATGGAACCTCGAAGGTCGCTCCTCCAGCCAGACCCCTTTCCAGCAAACTGGGATCCGGACGGCTGGGTCAAGCCCAGTCCCTAGGACCACCTACTCTACCATCTCTGTGCTCATCACCACCTCTCCTTGGTCATAAAAGACTCCAATCTAGTAAAATAAAAATGAGGGCGGTTTGGGGAGAAAAAAAAATTTTTTTAAATTTGTTTTAGTTGTAGTTGGACACAATATCTGTATTTTATTTATTTACTTTTATGTGGTGCTGAAGATCAAACCCAGTGCCACACACATGCAGGGCAAGCGCTCTACCACTGAGCTACAATCCCAGCCCCAAACATCTATCTTCTCAATAGGAAAACTGCTCTCAGTATGTTAGCAGCAAGGTAACAAAGGTCTAAAAAAAAAAAAAAAGCCAATCACAAGGGACAATGAGTGTGAACCCAGACTGCCTTAACAAGGCCTCCTCTGGCCCTGTTAGGAGATTCTAAAATGAATGTGACCATCTTTGAAGTGCCTCCTCTCTGCTGGCACTCCTCCAGGTGTCCCCTCTGCCTTCCCAGGTTGACCCAGCCTGCAACTGAGACGCCCAGGTTCCTCCAGGCGCCCTTCTCTGCAAGCCCACCCTGGCTGGCCTCCCCTGGGCTCTGCCTAAGAGCAGCCTAAGAGCCTGGGGTGAGGCTGGTGAGGCGACTTCCTAAGCAGAAGCTCCGAGGACTTAAAAGTGGGGAGTCATATGCAGGGAAAGGACCCCCCCACACGCTGGCATCCCGCTGCCTCCTTAAGCTCAAGCCAGCACTGGGCAGGCCTCAGACTGGGGCCATAAACCCCCAGCCCAGCCAGGCTGCAGGAACGCTGTGGTTTGTGGTGGCAGGGTGGAGACCGGAAGTCTTGTATTTGTTAACAAAAATGGGGAAAGGCCAAGGGAGGTGGGGGCATGAGAGGCAAAAGCAAGCCCAGAGCTGGAGATTAGGGGGCCCCAAAGGTAGGGGCCGAGTGTGAGTGAGAGGGGTCTGCTGTGGCCTTTGTGTTTCTGAGCAGCTGGGCTCAGAGAGCCATAATGGGGGCTGTCCCATCCAGGGCAGGAAGTGGACAAGGACCAGGACCTGTGTCCTGCCACCCCGGTAGGCTGGGAAACCCAGGGCAGCTCAGCACACCAATCCACTCTGACTCTGCAGGCAAGTTAGGACCTGGGAGCCCCTCAGCCCCATGCCTTTTTTTTTTTTTTTTTTTTTTAAGCAGCAGCCAGTCTTGGACGGCGGTGTCCCGTGAGTAAGTCTGTACAAATGTGCACAGTACAACTCATTGAGGCAGCCATAAACACACACCCTGAGTGGCTGTGCCCTACGGACTCCCCAAATGACCTTCCTGGTGCCTGCCCAGATGGCTACATAAAAAGGGGAAGCTGAGGGCTCCTGCCTCTCTCCCTACCCCACCGAAAACCACCACCATGAAATGGGGCCGTCACTGTTCCCCACCCACCCACTTCCATGTATCTATACAGTCCATGTGTGTGAGACTGTGTGCTTGAGTGCACGGGTATGAATGTGTTTTGTGAGTACACACACACACACACACATTGGAACAAATGGAAAAAGGAGAGGGACAAGGGCTCCAGGCAGAAGGTGACTCATCAGACATGAACTAGTTTCTGCAAAGTATCCATCAACTGCTAATAAACGCGTGAGTGCTGGCAATCTGTGAACTTGCTTGCCGAGGGAGCTCGGGAGGAAGGCTACACCAAAGACCCAAAACATCCACGGAAAGAAGAATGCTGCTGGCACGCAAGTGAGCAAGGAAGGCGAAGCCTCCTTTGGAGGCACGGAACATCCCTTTGGGGAGAGGGTGTTTTGAAACACTGGCTCATCCCACCCAGACTCCAGCCAGGAAGGGGAGCAGGGCTAGGTCCAGGAGACCCTGAGGAGCCTCAGTGTGCTTTGTTTCCTGCGCCTGCACCCACCCCCGAAATCTGGCCTGGGCCAGCAAAGGGGGGGGGGTGAGGGGTGGGGCAGGGGCCCAGGATCGAGTTGCCCCCCCCCATGCCAGGGCGAAGTCGACAAGGGCAAGGGCTGGGGCTCCTCTGCCAGGCAGGCTTCTGGGGACAGAGGAAGCTGGGTGAGGCTGGGGCTTGAGGCTGCAGGGGGAGGGGGAGGGGGAGGGGAGGGGGAAGGGAGAGGGGAACCTGCCCAGGTTTCTCTTTCATCTGTGAGGCCAGTCTACCCAGCACTTTGCTCCAGACGTCCCCTGGAAAGGCCTTTTTCTGTTAAGGTTAATGGCCCAACCAGGATGAACAGCAGCATGTGGGTGTCCCTGGATGGGAACAAGGCCCCTGAAAATTGGCTTGGTGCACCAACCTGCTGCAGGGAGACCGTTGCTTGCTCTTCCCTTCCTCCTTGTCCCCTCACCGTCCTCCAGCAGACTCCCACCCCCGCCAGAGGGAAGTTCTAGGCCCTTCTGCCCCCAGCATTTCTGAGCACAAGTTTGCTCTCCAGCAAACCCATTCATTCAGGGAAGGCACATACCCTCAGGCTTACATCACACCTTCTGGGGACCTGGCACTCCACCCCTCCCCCTCTGCCCTGAATTCCCCAGCTTTTGGACTCATTTCTGGGAATCACCCGGCATCACCTTCATAGACCAGTTCCCTGAATTGGGCCCACAGCCCACGAGAGTCTCCCCGACAAAGGTCAGCATAGACACTTGGCTCCTGGGGCTTCCCAGGACCTTGACAGGGCCTAAGAAGTCATGGTCATCACAAGGACTAAGGAAGACGAGCCTTGGAAGCCCAACCCTGGCTTCGTATCCTCTCTGCGGCCGCTTCGCCTCCCAAGGCAAGAGCCAGCCCCTCGTTAATCTCCCTGGCTTTATGACCTTTTCCGGTATTTTCAACTTCTTCCCCTCCCCAGAAAACTGTACAGGGGCTTGTTTTAAAACTGTATGTGTTCATTTTAAAGCATCCAAAAGAAAAGCTGTGTTGTAAAAAGCTCACTAATCAGATGCCTGCTCACAATTTTTTCTTTTTATTACAGTTGGGGGAATTTTTGGAGCAACACCAGAAAAATGCTGAATCTGCCTAAAATTCCATTGAGGTGTTTCCCCCTCCCCTTCCTGGTTTTTTTCCTTAAAGCAAAAACTCTTCCCTTTAAGGAAAGGGCCAGGCCCGCACTTGCATAAGAAAGCCCACTTCCCAGGGAATGCCTGGCTCTTTCTAGGACTTTGGTAACTATAGGACTCTCACACTCTGCATCTCAGTGGCACAGGGTGACCAAACCTCAAAGGCCACATTTTAAGTAAGTGAGGAATTTTCCCCTTTCCAAAGATCTCATTTGAAGGTGCAAGGTAATGAGGAAGAAGTAAAGGGAGGCAGAAAGGTCAACGTCAGGGCCTCAGTGGTACCATTTCTGGTCTCCAGCTTGGGAAATTGACCATGAGGTCAGAGGCAGAGCAGAGGCCAAGGAAGGAGTCGCCAAGCAGGAAGGGACCTGGGCAGACACTCGGCCTCCCAGGGGCCTCTCCATGCTACTCAGGGACAAAGCAAGGGCAGAAATGTAGACACAAGGCTCACACCCGGCAACCCCAGAAGGCAAACATCACCACGCCTTGACCAAGGCAGGTCCAGGAGCCTCCCTCTTCAGGACTCAGGCGCCACCAACGGCTGCCCATCCCGTCCTCCCCTCTGCATCAGACATCTCAAAGGTTAACAGCACCACAGCCCTGCTCCTCACCCTGTCAGGGAGCCGGCTGCTATGAACTCACCCAAACCACTTCAGGGACAAGGACTGAGATAAATAAAAGGGGCCCTGGCACCAAGTCACCCAGTCTAGTCTTACCCCCAAACCACTGCAACAAGGACCCTCTTAGAAGGTCATTCCAAGAGGCAAAGGACCAAAAACTAAAGCCAATATGTAAACTGAAGTCTTTGGGCTCGGGACAGCTGGAATCTGCCGAGATTATATGTTGGGTTAACTCTGTTACTGAGAGAAGGAGGCCCCAACCCATGCTCCTTCCCCTCATCTGGCTGGTGAAGAAAGTGAACTAAGAAAGTCGGTGTTTTGCATCATCTGCACTGACGTGGCTAGGTTGGGGGGTGGGCAGGGGGTGCCATGGAGTCTCCTTCAATGGCAGGGTGCTCTCTGGGGTCCCTGGACCCAACCAGCTGAGTCCCTACACTCAGGGATTCCCAGCCATGGCACATTCCAAAGATGAGCTGACCAGCTTATAAAGTAAAATAACCAGGCTTGTGTCAAATCCGCCTGCCATGAACCTCAGTAGGTGACTTAACTTCATCCTCTAATAGGAGCTCCTGGCCCAATAACGTTATTGTGACAATCTGATATAAAACTGGTCGGGGCCAGCCCACTTCAGGGTGAGTGCGCCACACACACTGGTCCAAACTCTTGGGACCCATCTCCAACTGCTGGGAAAAGGCTCATGATAAAGTGTCCCCTTTGTTCCCACACATCCCCAGATAGGGAACGGTCGGACCAATGCTGATACTCAATAAGCATTTACTCTGCACAGGTCTTACTC